TACAGCTAAATTATTTGCGGACGGCGCCAACATTTTCGGTGATATAACATCGCCCGAGTGCATTGACTCTATACAGGATGATCTCAATAACATAAGCCACTGGACTGAGACTTAATTGGCAAATGAAACTTAATTTAGAAAAGTGCAAATATATGAACATTAAGCTTGGGCAATCTGTATCGGACCAAAGTTATACCTTAACGGGAAACATCAACACAACAGTAATTCAAAAGGTGGAGCACGAAAAGGACTTGGGGAATGATTTCGATAACAACTTGAAATTCACCGACCATGTCAACACGCAAGCGAAGAAGGCCAACAGAATGGTGGGATTAATATTTAAATCTTTTACCCACATGGACGAGGCAATGTTTGCAAATCTATACAAGTCTCTAGTAAGACCTCACTTGGAGTACTGCACATCAGTCTGGTTTCCAACGTACAAAAAGGACCGGAAGACTCTAGAAAATGTTCAACGTCGTGCCACCAGGTTGTTGCCACATCTCAAACACCTAAACTATGAGGAGCGTCTGTGAGTTTTAGGAATTTCTTCCTTAGAGTACAGACGGAAAAGAGCAGACATGGTTAACCTTTATAAAATATGCAATGGACTTGTAGATGCCAACATGGATAAATTCACAACTTTTGCGGCTGGACAGAATGTACACAGTACCAGAGGACACAACGAAAAAAATTTCAAGAAAAGGTTTAGGACTAAACTAAGAGGAAATGCCTTCTCCAACCGAGTGACCGAACCGTGGAACAATTTAGACTCCACCGTAATAAACGCTCCATCTTTAGATTCGTTCAAATCAAGACTGAACCGTGCGTGGAAACTTCACCAAGGAAAATTCAGGCCCGCTGCGCTGCCACAGAGCGGGAGGTGCAGACCGGGAGTCCGTACCAGTAGCATTAGTAGAAGCGTCAAGAGTAGTGGAAGACTAATGGTATGACGTCGACAACGTTGAGTTAACGGTGAGTTAACGACTATGCACTGACAAAATGAGAGGTTTAACAAGAGGCCCCTGAGCCTTACTGATCCAAACTGTATATAATTCAACTGTACATTTTCATACATACAGTGACATTCTTTTGTTATTGTATGCATGAAACAATTTAACCTGGCATACCTGGGACTATACAGACAAACAATTTGCCCCATTGGGACTCTGCCCCTTGCAGCAAGGGAGGGGGTCAGAATTTTAATTTTCATACTATCAAACTGGCATCCCAAGATGGTTATTCCAATGAATTTGAAATCATTCCCAAATGAAAATGAACAAAATAAATCCAAAATGTTAATTCTTGACATTAATCCTATAGTTAACTTTTCTCGTTCCCCACAGATAAATGGATGTCCCCCGGGTAATGAAATTCACATTTCAATAAAAGCACTGTTAATAAGCAGGATTTCTAAGTATACAGTGAAGAGGCAAGTTGTAGAATTTTTAGCTAGTTTGACCCTTTTTTTCCGGTTTTGGGACAAGCACAAAAGGTCCCTCGGTGACGGGAAGTATATAATTCACATAATGCTTTGGCTATAAAACCTTTTGCAGAATGTTATTGAAATCTTTGAAATGGTTGGAGAAGAAGTTGAAAACACAAAATTTTACGGACACTGACATTTACAAACACAATAAGTGATAATGACAGGCAACGTACATTAGACACATTATCTCAGGTGTCAGTATTAAACCAGGCTAATAGTAATATTACACCCAACGGAAGCTGGACTTCTGATGACAAATATATGTTATGTCAAGTAGAATGTTAAGGAACTACATTTGATTCATTACTCTACATTCAGTTTGCAACATGCAATAGACCCAATAGAGTTATTTGCACAATCCTCCTACTCCAAATCAAACAATGAATCAAATAAAAAGGTGTGTTAAACTGTTTTGAGATCTCTGAACCCTCTTACCACTGTAGACCATAATGGACCCATCCATATCAATGCATGGTAGAGTCTACTAAAGTTATGTAGGGATGAAAGAGTTAATGCATCCTGTGTAGTAACTGTAGAACTGTCATCCCCCCTTCAGTTTATTGGTTGAGGAGGATATTGAGAATGTGTTGATGCAGTAATTATATCATGCCAATTAGGACTACATGAAATGACAATTATATGCAAGAAGATGTTCATTAATATGTAAGATAATAACATCCAGACTATGAAACAGTAACAGAAATGTATCCCCATGTTCCATGGAAGTGAAGATTGTATGAAGGCTAAATGAAGATGAATAGTTCTGACAGGACTACTGAGTTTGGCAAGTCATTTGTATCTGAAAGACTTTTTATCCATAAATGAAGATTTCTTTACCACAAGGTGCCCTGGTGTCCTGGCTGTCACACCTGCCATGGATATTTAAACCATCATGGTAAAACATTCTCATTTATAGTATTTCAAATATTGCCCCATGTTGGGTTCTGTCACACTGACATCAGGAATGCTTCAGAACAAATGTATTCAAGGTCCATATTTATTTGTATTTAATAGGCTTTGGATCTCAATCGTTTCTATCTTATGACCCTAACACTTAATCATCAAGGCGAGATCAGATATCTGGGCAAATCCTGGTAGTATGATTGTGTTCTTCTATTCCCAGCATGCAGATATATGGTTATATGAAAGTGATCTCGACCATTTCAAGGGGCTAAGTCCTCAGGGGCTTGTCTGTCTTGGGAGATTCCTGGTAGGATAATTGTATTCCTTTCTTCATGCTCACCACTTATATAGTTATAAGATGGTCATCTCAAACATTTCCATGACAAGGCCTAGGGACCAAGTCCCAAGGGGTGAAGCCAGACCTTTTGCCAAACCTGGCAGCATGATCATGGTTTTTTCTTCATGCCCAGTTATTGTATATCATATGGTTATGAGGTTGGGATATTGACTGTTTCTATATTATCAACAAAGAACTCTTAGTCCACAGAAACAGTGCTGCAAACTGTTGCGAGTTCTGGTAGATTGATTGTGTTCTCTTCCTGCCTGGTAAGCAGATATATGGTATCGACCGAAACTATTTCTAAGTCATGAACCAATGACATGAAAGTAAGTCAAGGTCATATACATGTGGAAACTTTATGGCATTTGATCCCTTCCTGATACCCACTGCCATCACCACCTAAGGGCTTTATGGACATTAAGAAGATATAGCTTTTTCCTCATTATAGCTCATGCATGTTGATAGCTGACTCCAGCCAGTGCTCAAAGCTGACCTATGACCTAAACACAATATACTAGAAAAAAAAAGATTTTCATATCCAAGTTTCATGCCTCATAAGCTTTCGAAAACAATATTTACAGTTTTAAACATATTTGACCTTTGACCCATGAAGGTCAAAGTCATTGATACAAGTAAACTTTTATAACATTTTACTATCCCAGGTACATGTACCTTTAGCTACTGGCTTAAGCTTCCAAGACCCTGGGCCTCATGGAACTTACAAAAGTTTTGATCCATTACAGTCTATGGTAATTAATCTTTGACCCTTACACTCATTCAAAGATGATCTAAACACAATATATACTGCATTTAAAAAATAATTGCAAAGCTGGTGTTCATAACATGCCAAACGTTCATTGTTAGACTTTAGGTACTTTTTTATATTGCTGTTAATGAGTTCTTAACAAATTTGATCCTTTTGACCTTGAAAGAAGGTCAAAGACATTTATAACAGGAAACCTTATACAGCACTTCATCCAAGGTACCTACTGGTGAAACATCAGTACTCTAAGTCTTCATTTTTTCAAGAAGAACCATTTAGAGAAAAAGTTGACAGTGATACACTACAGACAGAGGAATAGTAATAATAATTATTACAACCTAGTTTGTAGGTCGTCTCAAAGCAGTTCACAAATTATTATCCGTGGTTATAGGGCCTTTGCAACCAGCCAATATCTTTCTCAACTCCCTGGGGAGCATACAACTGGAGCTGCCATTTCGGCACTAACAGCTAGCTAGCATTCAACAAATCTAGCACTGCCCAACCACATACTCATTTTCAGCTGAGTAGACTGAAACAAGCGGAGTAAAGTATCTTGCTCAAAGATATACAACACAGTGCCGTGTTGTGACTCGAACCCGCAACCCTTCGGTCACGAACCGGCGTCCTACCACTAGACTACCGTGCCTCCTCATAGGAATCATAGATACTGCACCACACCGTAAGCTTACCGAGACATTTTGTACCTGGTGATTTAAAATTACCAACAGCAATTTTGTTTGATGACACCGAGTCTGGAATCCTTTCAGAGAATTGATAAACCTTGGCAAACCCTGTAGATCACAGAATTTCTTCAAACTATAAAGTTGGTGCCATGTTCAGATTAAACTTGTTTGAAACAAACTCCACTGCAACATAATTGACACAATTCATTCTTTGTATTTATTGGTGTTTAAAATGATGATTTAATATATTTTGTTATGGGTTTGTCATTAGCTCAATTCAAGGAGTGAATTTGAAATTTTTCTTTTTCTCTTCAGTTTGGATTGAAACAACGTGGAAGTTACACATGCACATATTCATATGACTGGTTCAATGTTTGCAAAGCTCTGTTGAAATTCTTCTCACACTTAAGGAGTAGTAGACAGGAAAAGACTTTGTTGGCAAATAAAGGGCCATAACTCTTACTATAAATGGAAACAACAATGAAATCACTAACATAGGTACAGTATTTTCAGAAGGAGTAATGCAGGCAAAATTATATCTACAAATGGACAGTCACTCTTAGTACAGTGTCTCCAACTCTAACTATGCTATGCCACAATGAAACCCACATGATTTCCAAAACAAAATATAAACTTTTTTGACTTTATGCTTGGCGTTTGAACTCACAAAGTAACCTTCCTTATGTAAATATAACTTTGATTTGATAAAACAATTTAAATTTTTTGTTCTCTATATTTTAATGACCAGTCGCTTACGATATTGTCTCTATAATGATATCAATTTATAATGTATTGTCGTCAAGTAATGATAAAATTACTTACGTTTGCCCATGTTAGTAAAATGGCCTGGGTCTAAATAGGCATCATAATGCTGGCCATGCATTGTTGGTGTCCAGTTGTTATGGTAACAGAGAAGGGCCACAGTTCTTCCTTGGCCTTCATCTTAGCCCAGCCTGACATCAGCTGACCTGGCTGTCTGGAGTGGGAGGAGGCCTATCACTGTCCAGCGCCCACAGGTCACCATGAAAAACATGTCTGGGCCTGAAACTAAAGAAAAAAAGATTTGGTAAGAAAATTATTATCCTTATAGCTGAAACAAGAGGTGAACTAAATTTCTCTGTCTTCCATCCTTTATTGTTTGGTTTTCTAATCATATACATATTTTACAAACCTCATTCTAAACATTTATTTTCTTAATATTATAGTCCAAAAGATGATTATAACTAAAAATATTTTGAAAGCATATGTAAGCCTCCACTGTTTTTCTGACAGAAATGGAGCAAATTGTAATGTCAAATCAAACTTATTGAAGCAGAAAATATAGGTCAAATTAATCAAATATAGGTCAAATTAATCAAATATAGGTCAAATTAACTAACTATAGGTCAAATTAACCAACACATCGTATTATGGCGTAATACCCCACAATAATTATCTGCATACAAGCTTTGGTGACAATTGGACTTGCTGTATCAGAGTAATGAAGCTAAATGCAAGGTCTTGCCACACAAATGAAGCGGTAAAATTCAAAGTCTACCCAAAGCCAGTGACGCAATAAATAGCTGAAAATGTGGAAAATGGCAGGACGGATGATCTGTAATAGTTCACCATGTGTACTGTTAACTCAGGTGTCATATTTTCAGTTAACTTGTACATAGAAAATCGATAATGCATACTTTGTCTGTTTGCAGTTCTTATATAAATAGGAATATTGGTTGAAAGGAAACAACTGGAACACAAGAGAAGCTAGATGTCTAAATGATCTAGGGTGACAGTGGAAAAAACCCATTGTGAATGGGAGCTGGCAGAGGTGAGGAGTGCGTCTGCACTGCATGGTATTGATTTCTGTGACGACCTACCCTACATACAATGTACTTGGTGATCCTGCTTATGAGCATCAATTGCAAATTATTCATGTAGCATTATCTTGTTAATTATTCTATATAAATTCCAATAATGATGGATTCAATACAACCTTTTCTTGACAAGAATGACATTTTCTTTTAATATTAAGGACTCAATTAGAAAAAGATGTTTTAAGATGATGTCATTTATCTTTCAGAAGACATAATCCAAATCAAATCTACCAATAAAATCCCATCACCCTCTTTGCAGAATGTCACATAAAAATTGAAGCATTCTTTGAATATTATTGAGAAGAAACTTTTTTTTTCGTATATTTCAGGAGCAAAAACCAATATATCCACTGGCAACCATGTTGAACTTTGGAATCCAGTTAAAATCAAATTTCAGTGGGCAATTGTATCAAGCTTCATATAAACTAAAGTGTTTTCGAACACTATTACACAGAAAACACTTAAGTAACAAATTCAAGATGGCTACTGGTAGCCATATATAATTTCAGAACAGGGTCAAAATTGAAGTTGAGCCAGTAATTTTAATTACAGATTTTTTTATGAAAATCCTACCACGTTTTTTTATGCAATGACACTTTTAATTGTTTAATAACCATGTATTGTTTTGGATGAAAGACCATGCACATGCATGTGTTATTTTTAAACAAATCATGCACGTGCAACGCTCTTCCAAAAACTACCTTAAACAAGGGAGCTGCGGAGATTGGTTTCCTTTGTCAAATGAGGGTACAGGCATTTAATTTGTTATGTATTTTAAGGGATTTGCTGGTCAACAAACAAAAACGTTTCTATTTAACATATAGTTCTCCTTTAAACCTATCAAGTTCACTGTACTAATGTTCTGTCAAACTTACTGCAAAGGTGACTTCTGACAGTGTTTGTAAATCTGTGAAATGGTGATTTAATGTGTTGATGAGTTAAGTGTTGATGAATTGCAATCAGTGGTTTTGAGTGATTGAAATAAACGTCTTGCATAAAGCATGATGTCAGTGTAACTGTCTGTCAACCAAATGGCAACTGAAAATGAAAAGTCCTTCCCCAAATATATCCAGGTTTATATATAGACAACAGGGACAGAAATAATGAAATTGTGCAGCTCGTTGTGAAATGAAGACAACGAGTAATTTATATACCGTTGGATTATCTATGTCATCTAGCTTACAATATGGGAAAGGACTCGAAGGAAGTTATGAAAGCTAACTCTAGTTTGATAGATATAATCAACATAACTTTGTGTATTATTGTGGAAAATATGACTAGGGATTTGAAAATGTTTAAAAAAATGTTCAACTCAGACTAGCTTACGGCTTTCAGTAAAAAAAAATTCCAACATTTTCTTGCCCTGTGTTATATATTCTACCACAATTGTATCCACAGGTTGATTATTTCTTCAAGAGTTATAGAACAGGAACCTTAATGTGTCTGTCTACACTGACAATCACACAAACAACAGAGTGATCTCTACGCGTGAGATGCTTAATTCATAGGTGACCGTAAAATTACGATGGCCTGTTTCAGCCAGCAGTTCAGTTACAACCTAATCATTGACAAAACTGTCCCTTTCTCCATAGCTTATTTACGTAAACTTATTTAGTTAGGAGGGACAAAGCACTGAAGAAACTTATTTAGTTGGGAGGGACAATTCACTGAAGTAAACTTATTTAGTTGGGAGGGACAAAGCACTGAAGAAACTTATTTAGTTGGGAGGGACAATTCACTGAAGTAAACTTATTTAGTTGGGAGGGACAAAGCACTGAAGTAAATCTATTTAGTTGAGAGAGACATAGCACTGAAGTAAACTTTTTTAGTTAGGAGGGACAAAGCAATGAAGTAAACTTATTTAGTTAGGAGGGACAAAGCAATGAAGTAAACTTATTAAGTTGGGAGGTACAAAGCACTGAAGTAAACTTATTTAGTTGGGAGAGACATAGCACTGTAGTTAATTTATTTAGTTAGGAGGGACAAAGCACTGAAGTAAACTTATTTAGTTGGGAGGGACAAAGCACTGAAGTATAAACTTATTTAGTTAGGAGGGACAAAGCACTGAAGTAAACTTATTTAGTTAGGAGGGACAAAGCACTGAAGTATAAACTTATTTAGTTAGGAGGGACAAAGCACTGAAGTAAACTTATTGAGTTAGGAGGAACATAGCACTGAAATATAAACTTATTTAGTTAGGAGGAATATTGCAAAATTATGGATGATGAGAGATAGATGGACAATGAATACCACTCCTTGGCATCAGTTCAACTTTGTCCTTTAGACCAGGTGAGATAATAGTATAAAACAGGAATTTAACCCCTTCCATTTGGTACCACAGAGTTAACTATACAGTTCTCAACGATTTAGAGTGCACATACAATTCACTTCCTAGTGAGGTGCCGTAACATAGACCTCTTGAATCGCAAAGGTGTGCTACAGGGACGTCTACTGTGACCATATCTGCTCAGAGTAAGGTATTATGTTGTACATCAAATGAAGATATGTCAACTACTGACTCGCACAAGCACATATATAAAGCTGGCAGCTGTCAGAAAACAGACAAAACCTATAGATGTCTCCTTTGATCTCCAGTATGCTGGTTATCAAATGCTCATTATTATGGGATCACAGCAAACCTTAAAGCCTTTTGGTCCTTGTGGAAAAGTTGTAAATAGGTGACCCCAGGTAAATCATATTCACAATTTTCTTACAGCACTTGAGGAATTTTCCTTCCATAAAAAAGTCCTTACATTATAGCATGTCAGAGTTTGAAGAGAAAGGTTTTTGAAATTGAAGTCAATTTTCCGCACTTGGACCCTGTCCCTAGCAGCCAGGAAAGGTGTCATGGTCTAAGTGTTTGTGCCATTCCATGAAGACTATATATCAACTGTGTTTGAAAAATTTCCTATTGAAAATAAACCAAATAGCATTAAGTGTTATTCCTCTATATAAATTATGGTAAAATTTACCACCTTCTCTGGAAATAATTAATTACTCGGGAACAAGGAAATTCACAATTTAATAAATATACGTTGGGACATTTCCATCCATGAAGAAAAATATATAGTTAAAGTTTTAGACAATTGGGACTTTTTTTGGCCAAAACCTTTAGGCCAATACAGAGGTTAAACCCTATCGTTCACACTTGTTGATCTTTGGCCATGAAACCTTCCTGCAAAAATTTAATGAAATCAGTATATTTGCATATGATGATGGACAAATGTGATCATAAAAAGTTAGGAGACTTTGTCATGGGTAACCTAAAATCGGCACCTGATCAGGCCATGAAAAGATCATTCATTTTGTACTAAGAGACATAAACTCAAGGGCCTTTTAGTTTCATCAAATGAATAAAATGTCTTTAATAACAAAAAATGACAAGCAGATACATGCGAATGGGAAGAACATTTTTTGCATGTGAAAAAAACCAGAAAACCTTTTAAGGACACACAGACTAGCACAGACAGAGCTTTATCAGGAGCAGACAAGATGACTAACCTTAAAGGTGATTGAATAGAGCAGTAGTCGGAACAGAAACAGCAGAATTGTATCACTAGTCTAGACATAATCTATCTGTCTAGAAGATGAATAGCAAAATCTCTCTAAAATTTTAATGTATAGGTCCCACAAGTACTATGCTAAGAATATAAAATTCCACAGTCCAGCCTACGTTTGGCACATTACTACACGATCCTATTCAACGTGCAGTAAAATCCTATTATACTGCCACCTTTTTTCGAGCGAAACTTTTACAGTCATTAAGGGGTTAATTGATAAAAAGTAGAAAGCATAAAAAGGATTTATTCTGAAAAAGGAAAAGAGGACCTTGAAATGTGTTCCCAAAATGTGACAAATTATAAACCTTTTAGGTTTTACTGTAAAGAAAGAAGATTGGCGATATCCAAGTTTTACTTTCTACACTAACAATGTACGTATTAAATGTGTCCCATGCCATAGCTTGACAAAGGGACCAGTTGGTCTCAAAACGTTGCAACACGTATAATACGTACATTGTTTGTGTAGAAAGTAAAACTTTGATATCACATATTTCCAAACTGATGAAACTTAACGAAGAAAAAAAATATGTAGAATGACTATATGACATCCATGTCCATAGGGTGTTTTTACTGTACTGTCTGAGCTTTCATTATAATTTATCACCCAACTACCACATTGGTCAGAGAAACT